GTATAAGCTGAGCCATAATAGGTTTATGGGGAAGCAGTAAAACCCTTCACAGGCTGAGCAGTCATCTCCCTCCTGCAGTCACAGCTAGGGACACGCTATGTGGCCACTGTTCTCAGATCCTGCCCAGCAGTCCCCAGTTGCTCAGCAGGTGCCAGGGCCAGATTGCCAGATCCTCAGAACAAGCCGCTGGGCCTTGTATATCACTCCAATCCCAGGGCCCCACAGAGAGGCCAGGTGGATTGGGAACTAGGTGTAGGGAATTGACTCATAAAGGCCTTGATCATGACACTGACTCACCCTGACTCAAGAGCTCAGCCACTCCTGCCATAGCATACCCTCCTCAACCAGCTCATTCCATCTCTCAAAGGAAGGAGTTTACGGGAGGTGATGGACTGTGCCCACTTTACAGATGGGAAACCTGAGTCTGGAGTAGCTTAGAGTAAAGGAACCAATCTGGGGCTTTTCTACCATGAAATATCGTTGTCCTGAGTATGAATCCTGACTTCATCACAACCTGGTGGTGAATGCCAGGCAGTCACTTCTTCCTGAACCTTGGTGTTCTCATCCAAAATAGAGCATAGGAGAACCTTTTTGTAGTAGGATTAAGAAAACATAGGTAGCGTTTGTAGATTGTGCTGCTAAGAACATAGGGGTGCATATATCCTTTCTGATTGGTGTTTCTAGTTTCTTGGGATATATTCCTAGGAGTGGGAACTGGGTCAAATGGGAGTTCCATTTTCAGTTTTTTGAGGAAACTCCACACTGTTCTCCACAGTGGCTGCACCAGTCTACATTCCCACCAGCAATGCACGAGGGTTCCTTTTTCTCCGCAACCTCGCCAACACTTGTCATTTGTTGATGTTGGCCATTCTGACAGGTGTGAGATGGTACCGCATTGTTGGCTTCATGCCTGGCATAGCCCTTGAAAGGCAAATAGCTGTTATTATTTTTGCTATGTTACCCCTGCCCCCTGCCACAATCATCACCTCCTGCTTCTACTCAAATGGACATGGCACCAGGGCAGCAAACTTGGGTTCAAGTCTTGGCTCTTTACTTGCCAGCTGTAGATCCGTCCTTAGGCCAAGCACTGTCACTTTTTAAGTCCCATACTCCTGGGTAAACTATGGAGGCCCATGCACCAGTGAGTGGCTCCTGAAGTACCTGGCACTATAAAAGTCCCTGTGGAGAGTGGCTGCAATGGCCCTCACATCCTGCATGCCCTTTTGCCCTGTAACTTTGCCCTCCTCTCTCTAGGAGCTGGTCTGTCCTCTTCCTCTTGAATCTAGGGAGTGACTATGACTTGCCTTGACCAATAGAATGCAGCAAATGTGAAGCTGTGCGACTTCCTGGCGTAGGCTTCTCAAGACCTGGCAGCTTCTGTTGTGTTATCTTGAAGTGCTGAGCCACCACAGAGAAGTCCAGGGAGCCTGCTGGAGAGACCATGGGGACAGAGAAGCCAGCTGGCCTCCAGCCCTTCCAGCCTCCCCAGTTGAGGTGACAGACATGGCCAGAAGCCACTTTGGATCTTTCTGCCCCAGTCAAGTCTCCCTGATCAACACCAGGCAGGGCAGAGATGCGCTATCCTTACCAAGCCCTGCTCAAATCATAAAACTGAGAACAAATGAACAAATAAATGATTGTTGTTTTAAACCACTAAATTTTGGGGTGGTTGTCATGCAGCACTAGATAACTGTTATAGTTTCTTTGTTTTTTCTGCCCCATCTTCACCCAAACTTGGCTTGGATAAGGTCTAGTTCCTTGGCCTCAGCTGATTAGACAAAGGAAGGAGCACTTGTCTTTGAGACAACCAGTATTCATTGACTGACAGGTGGCCAATCAGACTTATTTTCCCTCTGAAGAATAGGAATGAAGAGATCAGAGATTTGCAAGCTCAACTGTGAAGGAGGTTGGAGCTGGGCTTTTGAAATGGGAACTGGGGGTGACTTTCTGTTAGGCTGTCATGTCATCAGAGGACACCAAATTGGGGAATCAGAAAGTCAGATCATAGAACCAGCTTCCATGGGGGCCCCAACAAATCACTTAACAGTAGCTGGTCTGTGCTGCCCTGCTCCTTGTACCCCATGAGCCCCAACTTCTGGCCATAAAAGACCCAAGGTCCCCTGGACTCCCTGTTACCAGTAAGGGGTCTGCTACCCAGACCTCCAACCCTCCAAACACACACAGGTCATGGCTTTGTCCTCCAGGGCTCCAGGGAATGACCATCTTTCCGTCCTGGGCAGACAGGAGTGATGGCCTAGTCAGCTCCCATCTTCCCCTCAGCCCTAAGGCCCTTAGTGGCAAAATAGAGGGATGACCCGGTTTGGTTCTACCCCAACCCCATTCCAGCTCTCTAGGATCATCTACTGTGTACCCCATACAATCCTTGTTAGTTCCTTGCTTGTCTATAAAAATAGCATGCTGATAGCCTTGGTCATTATTGCACAACAAACAGGTGCCACACCAAGATGGGATTTGAACCATCTTGTATGATACTAGGCAGGCTATTTCCCCTCTCTGAGTCTCAGAGTCTCGCTTTTGAGGAGATAAACCGTGGGGGCATGTTGTGCCTGCTTCTCCCTCTAATACTCACCCTGCTGGGTGCCATCCTTGGCTGGGTCTAGTTGCTTGTCCACTGTAGGATCCCAGCCTTATTACCTTTTCTTTGAAGACAAGCTGTTTCATGGAAGAATGGGCCTGCAGGCTGCCTCTGGTCTTGGTCTCCTGGAAAGCAGGCTGAACTCTCAGGATTCAATATCTTGCCTTTCCCCTAGAAACTCAGACCCATGCTGAAAGGTGAGCTGAATTAGCTCTCTAAAGAGCTTGAGGTGGCAGGACATGCTGGCTCCACAAACCCACTAAGTCTGAGGCTGACAGGGGCCACTGAACTATGCGGAATATGGGTTTCCAGGGAAGGCTTTGCCTTCCTTTTCCAATCACCTCTGGATTTAAACTCCTAGCTGTGTGTGCGCCAGGGCAGGGGGCAGGGGACAGAGGGCAGGGGTGGGATGGTATCTATTCCTCCTCTTTCTCCTTCAAAGGCTGTCAGGTAAAATAGTGGCCTCTCCAGCCTGACTTTCAGGCTATTCCCCTCTAAATATATCTATATATTTGGCAGGGCTCTTAACAGTTGAGTTCATTACCTTCTGCTAGGAAAGGACAGTACTGAAATCCAGGCCACCTAGCTCTCAACCTGGGCTCTGCCCAGTCCCCAGGTTCCTTTGCTTGGGGCAACCTAACCACCTTGACCGTGGGCACTTATGTCTCCCTGACTCTCCTCCATCTGAAAAAAAAACCCTCACAATTTCGAGTTCCAGAGTATCCCCAGGGATCCAGTTTTCTCAGCAACAGGAATAATTTGGCCCCATAAACCACATGCTCTTACCAGAACACTGGGAAGCCCCAGGGGCCCAGGCATCCCAGGGGCCAAGGAACAAACCCAGCTGCATCGTGTGGGAAGATGGTGCTAAACAAGTATCTAGGCAATGGAAAGACTGTTCTGGTCTCTCTAGAGGCATGTCAGGTTCTTGAGCCTTGCATACCACTAGCTTCTTTATATATGCTCAAGGAATCATCTCCTTGTCCCTGTGCTTTCCAAAGTGGTCTTCTGCCAGGTGGGGTTCCCCAGGCCTGGTTCTGAGAAGCCCCAAGCCAGGCTTAGAAGTCCGCATCTCTTGGGGTCTGGAATTCCCAGCCTCTGGTCCTATCACTTAGTAGCTGTTTAACTGGATAAGCTCCTAGCTTCTCTGGTTCTCAGTCTTTGCATCTGTACCAGCAATCATCATCACCACCATTGGTCTAAGGCTTCCGGAATGCAAGGCACTCCAACTATCAACAAATGTACCTATATGCCCTCTGTTAACCTCCTAACAACCTAAAGCAGTGGTCAGCAATTCATTAGTCAACAGAGCCAAATATCAACAGTACAACGATTGAAATTTCTTTTGAGAGCCAAACTTTTTAAACTTAAACTTCTTTTAACGCCACTTCTTTTAAATAGATTCGCCCAAGCTGTGGTATTTTGTGGAAGAGCCACATTCAAGGGGCCAAAGGGCTGCATGTGGCTCACAAGCAGCAGTTTGCCAACCAAGGACCTAAAGTATCAAGACCAATATGTTACCAATGGGAATATTGAGGTCTGAGAGGTTAAATAACAATTCCAAACAGCTAGTAATTGTTAAAACAGGAAGTCACTCAGACCTGACCTCAAACCTGAGATGTAAAAAATAATCACATGACAAGGTGACCTGTGTGTCTCTTTGCATTTTTGTCATCCAGGGCATCCCTTTTCAGGGTTGAGTTTGAGGGGTGTAGGTTTGGTATGAGTGGATGAGGCCACATCTGACCTTCCTAGTCAGCTCATGTACAAATTGATCCCAATCCAGAACACTTAACAACCCAGGGTAGGCTCAGAGTATGGGGCAAAGCTGGGGTGGTAACTTGGTCTGGGCTGTCCAAAAGTGAGCCCCAGAACTGCCTCATGCAGCCCCAAAGAAGGGGCACTCTACATGGGAAGTGATGTACCGCAGGCACTCTAGAAATGCTTATGGCAAGAGCAGATGTTCCCAATCTTTGGATAGGCTAAGCCAAAGCAAAAAAGGTATTCTGCTTGGGAGACCCCAAAGCCATAATGCTCATGGGCCTCAGGATCTCCAAGACCTTGATACAGGACATCCCTGTGGGTCTAGAGCCTAGTTCATCCAGTTGATGTTTTTGGCGACTGTCTCGGCAGGAGTTTCTGGAGGTCCCTGGGCATGAGTGAGCCTTACCACAGCCCGACCCCACCTGATCCCATGAAGACCCCTTCAGAGGCCCATCCCTCACCCTGAGATAATAATGACCATAATGAGAACAGTCATCCACGTGTGTGCACAGCACTTTACAGGTTACAAAATGTTTCACATACAGTTCATCGATTCCTCACAACAGCCCTGTGAGGTAGGCAAGACAGAGTACCTCTTCCGTCTGTACAGATGTAGAGACTGAGGCCCAGAGAGGGCCAGTCACCTGTTTGTGGCCACAGGGCAAGTGGCACAGCTGGGACCAGCCCCTGGCTCTCGGCTGGTATGCTGTCCTCCAGGAGGACCCCAGCCCTTGTCCACAGCATCAGCCACGCCTGGCCCGGGGGAACAGAGGTAAGACAGCCCTGCTCTCGTCTGGCAGCCCTGTCCCCACCACCTGCTCTCAGCAAACAGCCAGCTGGGAAGTAGGCTCATGCCCTCCACTCTGCCTGCTCCTTCAGGCTTGACCTGGCAGGGTGGGCATATGGGGCTGGAACCTCCTTTCCTGTTTTCCTGAGTGATCCCTCCCCACAGGGGAAGAGAAGAAAAAGGAGGAAGAGGAGCAGAAGAAAAACAAACTGAGTTGAAAGAGGGCCCTGAAGCAATCAGGATGTCAAAAGTTTGCATTCCAACTAGCTATAGGAAATAGTTTTTTCTCTTTTTATTATTTCAAGTTTTCATAAAAATCCATAATTATTGAAACCCAAGTTACAGAGGAAGTTTGTAACTTTTTAAATTGAATTATTGACTGCTGCATGTTCATCAGCTTCTGACTTCAGTCTGTCCATATGTGCTTCGGGCTCCCCAGGCCCCGACTTCTGAGGTCCCGGTAGAAAGAAGGGAGGTGGTGAGGGCCAGAGGGGCAGTCGAACACAGGAGAGGGGGCAGGGATGGGTGGCACAGGACCAGGGAGGGAGCCCTGACCCATGCTCATATCATCTTCATGTTAAACTTGCGAGGTGCATCGGTGGAGCTGATGCCTGCGTCCGACTTGCGTGGCACATACTCAATCTCGATGTTGTGTTTCGTGTTGCCCTTGCCCCGGCTCCAGAGGAACAGAAGCACCAGGCAGAAAAGTACAACGCCCAGGAAGGAGATGAAGCCCATGGTGGTGGCGATAATGAGGGTCTTGATGTCAAAGGGGAAAGGCACAGTGGCTCGGGTGCTGTTGGCCTCTCCCTCGCCCGGCTGGTTGGAGATGAAGGCGAAGGTCTTGTTGGGCTGATGGGGCCAATCAGGGGAGTAGCTGCGCACATGCAGGTGGGCGGGCATGGAGTCGTTGCCGCCCGCGTTGGCTGCAATGCACAGGTACGTGCCGTTGTCCTGTACCTGGGCATAGCGCACCTCCAGGGTGCCGTCGGGGAAGACTGTGAGCCGCCCGTTGCTCTTGGCAGAGACCAGGTGCTTGCGGGGCGATAGCCAGAGGATGGCGGGAGGCGGGTCACCATCGGCCCGGCACACAAACTGCACCGTGTGGCCCTCATCCACAAACACCTGTTGGGCCTTGCGGTCCCGGATGCGGGCACGGCGGCAAGTGAAGTAGTTGGGAAGGAGCACATCGGGGAAGTCCTTGAACTCCTTGCCCTGGACAAACTCGGGCGTGGCACACGTGGGCTGCTGCCGGTTGAAGTTGAGTCGCCAGCGGCGCCGGAAGACCCACAGAAGCCGGCAGTCGCAGGCCAGCGGGTTGGAGTCCAGGATGAGCGTCTCTAGGTTGCCCACTGAGTGGAAGGCGGACTCCTCCAGGGTGGTCAGCTGGTTGCCAGAGACATTGAGCACACGCAGGTAGTTGAGGCCACGGAAGGCATAGGGCTCCACCACAGCCAGCTGCCCGCCCACCAGCTGGATCTCCTGCAGCCGTAGCAGCTCATGTAACATGGAGCCCTCAATGGTGCTGATGGGGTTGTAGGAGAGATTGAGGAAGCGGAGATAGACCAGGTGGCGCACAGCCAGGTAGGGCACAACAGTCAGGTTGCAGTGCGTGATGGATAGGGATGTCAGATTGAGACCATAGAGGCAGTTGGGTGTCATGGTGTCCAGATATGGCCAGTGGGCGATCTCCAAGACCTTGAGCCGGTACAACCTCTTGAAGGAATAGTCCCGGATGGCATTGATGTTGAGGTGCCGGAGCCTCAGGACGATGAGACCGTGTAGGTGAGACAGTGCCTCAGTGGGGATGGAGGTCAGGTTGCATTTCTCCAGTGTCAGCTGCTCCAGGCTGTTGAGGCCACTAAAGGCTCGATGGGATATGTAGACAAGGTCGTTGTCACCAACCTCCAGTGACTTTAGGTTGTACAGGTCCTGGAACATGTAGTCCAGCAGGATGACGATCTTGTTCTCGCTGATGTCCAGCTTGGTCAGGTTACTGAGGCCGGTGAAGACTCCCAGGGGGATGAGCTTCAGACGGTTGCTGCGGAGCCCCAGCGTCCGGAGGCTGAAGAGGTTGTTGAAGGCGCCAGGCTCCACCGTGCTCACAATGTTCTCATTGAGCTCCAGTGCCTCCAGGTGTGGGAAGCCGGCAAACTCATCCTGGTTGAGCGTTTTGATGCGGTTCTTGCCCAGGTCCAGCAGGCGGGTCTCGGTGGGGATGCCCTCGGGCACGGCCACAAAGCGCTTGCGGTGGCAGAGCACAGCTCGATCCTGGGCAGAGCACTCGCAGCGGGGCGGGCAGCCTGTGGCTGAGCCTGACAGGACCGAGCCCAGCACCAGCAGGAGGATGGGCTGCCAGCAGGCCAGGAGGGGGCTGGGCATGCTCTTCTCACCCCCTGACAGCATCCTCTTGCTTACCTACAGCCAGGAACAAACACAGTACAGAAGGAGCAGTTAAAGGATAACATTTGGCTGAATCCCACCCTCAGTCCTCCGCGTGCCCCTGCCCTGTCAAAATGTCCCTGACCAGTGCTGCTCAGTGGTTAGAGTGCCAGCCTGTGAGGGTTCAATTCCCGGTCAAGGGCATATACTTGCAGGTTCGATCCTTAGTCCTGGTGGAAGGGCCTATGGGAGGCAACCAATCAATGTGTCTCTCAACTAGATGTTTCTCTCTCTTTCCCCTCCCTTCCTTGCACTCTAAAAATCAATGGAAGAATATCTTGGTGAAGATTAACAACAAAAAACAATTAAAAAAAGAAAAAGAAATAGAAAAAGAAAATCCCTGACACAGACAGAGGCAAGGGGCTGAGTGGCATATGACACCTGCCTGGGACCCCATATGCTGGGTGGAGGTGGGGGGCTCCTGTCACCCTGTGCTGCTTCCTCCTTGCCCAGAGCCCTCCTGAAGGACCTTTCCAGCATCTCTGGGATCAAGGGGATTCATGAAAAGGAGAAGGCCACCTCAGAGGACCCTGGTATTGGCCCCCAAGCTACATCCATCTCCTTTACATTTTTGCGGTAGTGTGACTAGGCGTGCACTGTGCAGCCCCCACCCCTGCATCCTGAGCCACTGCTGCCACTGGTGTTCATCAGAATAAAGCCAAGTCTGCTGAGCTGTCCTTGGGACCAAAGGGGCTCCAAGCTGAGGCCTCTGGGGACACTCTGCAGAGAAGCATATCTGGTCCCCAGCCTGTAAGCAAGGGCTTCTGTGGCTGCTAGGAACCCACCTCACAACTTATAGCCTGAGCTGCCCCAGGTGTAGACACCATGGCCCCCTTCTCATAGGACTGCAGTTGAGTCCACAGCCTGAATCCTGTGCAGTCAGCAAACCCAGTGGTACCTGTCAGTGTTCACGAATCTGCTCCCCAGTGGGGTTTCTAGATCAGCGGAGGGCACTCCCACCCGGAAAGTCAGGACCCAGGCCAGTCCTCCTGTAGTGTCTCTCCAGCTCCCCCTCCTCTGGGTCCCACAGTGACCCATCTGAGCTCAGGAGTGCAGGACACAGGGGATGAGTTTTCATGGCTTTGGCTCCTGCAGTTCTGTCCTCCTGCAGTTGTCTGCCATCCCCCCTGGTCTGTCAAACTCCAATAGAGCCTCCCCCATATCTGTGCACAGCTTCCACTCTTAAGGCCACAGTTCTTTTCAACCACACTTCAACCCTTAAGGCAACCAGGGCTTGTGATGCGGGGAGGGGAGCTTATAGCTGCCCAAGGATACTCGGCCTATAAGGGGGAGGGTTTCAGATCTGAGCCCTGGTCTGTCAAACTCCAATAGAGCCCCACACTTTCTAATGCTCCGGGGATCTCCAGGACTGACAGGTGCTTCCTGGTTGTAGATGGACTAAATGATTGATTAACCAGAAAGGGCTCTGGTTGTCACTGACATGTTATGGAATTGTAAGATTTTTCTATCCCCAAGGGCTCTGTCCACCCCCTTCCCCTCAGCTCCTCTCAATCTCTCTCTAGACTCTTCTGTGGTTTGTCCTTCCCCACCTCACCTCCACTGTTTTCCATAGTCACACATGCTCCAGTGACCCACTAGAAAAGGAAATATCATGACAGGTGATCAATAATTGAGCTGACAGCTGAGACCAGCGCTGGTGTGAGGCTGGCGACCTGGAGCGGTAAAAAGAACTTTTAGCACTAGGGGTAGGGTTGGTGGGGCAGGATGGAGGGGACTGAGGAATACGAGGGATTTAGCAAGGCCACAGGCCACCTGAGATGTTGGTAAGCCCCTCACATAGGCAAGAATCTTGTATTTGAAGACTCTACCACTTTGCCTCAACTTATCCATCTGCCTCCTTTCCCACCACTCTGCCAATGAAGCCTGGTATTTCAGCCTTGTTCTCACATCCCTGCCTTGAAGCCACCTTCGTTTGGAGAACTCACCTTTGTGACCTTCCACCCCATCTCCTCCTAGACCTACTCAGTCAGAAATCATCTCTTGCCTACAACACTGAAGAACCTTCCATTTATTAGTAGTGGTATTATGTAACTGAAGTATAGCACACATCATTCTAAAAATTATTTGAAGCCAATTGACAGAAAAGCTATGCAATGAGGTGATAAAAAGATAAAACTAAAGAAGGCGAGCCAATCAGGAAAGAATGTCACAAAATTCTGAATAATAATTAAAGGTGAGAGCATCCTGGTGACAAAGAGGGACCTATGCTCCAAAGCCTCAGCTATTCCATGTGTTTAGTTCTGGGTCAAAAGGTCATGGGTGTATCTCACCTGCTAGAGGTTGGGGTATCTAAGGGTCAGCGGTGTGGTGCAGCCACCTCAGACCGATCCCAGCGAATGTTCTTGGAATGGGGGGGGGGGGGGGGGGGGGCGGGGTGTACCTGAGTTTTATAAAGTTTGAAGTTCCTCTGATGGAGCTGACTCTGGAGCAGGCAGCTGACAATTAGAAACCTGGGGATTTCAAATATGCTGATAGAAAGCTGGTCAACATTGCCCTGTGTGGCTGTCACCCTCAGGCCTGGCAGATAGACCCACAGAGCAATGGTCCATGCTTCGCAGGACCAGGAAAGCTCCTGAAGAACACATGCTCTGAATTGCCTCATCCCTTATCTTTTGCATGTGGCTATCCTGAAAAGTGGGGAAACTGAGGCCTGGAGAGGTTAAGGTGCTTGCCTAATCTGACATAGCAGGAGTATAACATGCCTATAAGGTCCCTGTCACCTAAGGATGTTGGCAGGGTCATGTCTGAGGGGCCACCAAAACTGGCACCATTAGTCCTCCAGGTTACTCCTGCAATTTCCAAGGCGAAGTGTTTTATCACTTTAATCAGTGTTTTATTTTGGATCCTTGCCCCCCGAAGGGCTTCCCACAAGAGCAAGAGTTAAAAAACTGGACCAATAAATGCAAAGGAAGTAAACACTGAAGGCATACAGATCAGTAGGCAGAGGAGTCATGCTGGGACACAATGCTCAGACCCCACAGCAGCCTGAGTCCTTCCAGTCCCAGAGCATCGGGACTGTCTGTCACCCCCAACAGACCTGTGCTGCCACCATCACACCCTCACTCAGATCCTAGGGCAGACATGGCCTGGCTCAGCTGCTCCCCCTGCCAACCCCTCCCCTGTGTGACCAGGGGCATTGCCTGTCCTCTCTGGCCTATTTCCCTCACTGTGCAGTGAGAGGCCAGATTCCAGGGTCCCTGAGAAAGCCCACAATAGAAATTGTACTTTCTCTGGCTGGAAAGTCAATATCCTAAGTATGGTTGGGGGATTAAAACAAGTGGGGGCTCAGGCCTTCAATTACAGTTCCACCGGGGCTAGAGGATCTGTTTGAGGCACTCACATTGGGGCTGTTTCCTCTGGGGTTGAGGGTGGCAAAGGGCAATGGTAGAGACAGAAGGGGCATGGGAACACCTGTGGGTGGACTTGGAGAACCACCAAGGAAAGTCAAGGGTGGTTTTACCTCATTTGGCAGCCCACACAAGCCAATCTTACACTTGCTCTTATAAAACAGCTTGGACTAACATTTGTAGAGCACATGCTACAGGCCAGGTTTGGAGCTTTATACACACTGTCTCACACCAGCATTCAAAAGAAGTAGTTCTTACCCACTTTACAGATGAGAATAGCCGAGGCTTCCAAAGGGAATTCATGCCTTAGGCCTAGGCCACAAAGTTAGGAAGGCAGCAGAGCTCTGCTCTTCCTGACCCAAGACCTGCCTGGTGTGACGTGCAGATTATTTCAGACACACAGGCCAGACTGGATGGGGCAAGCATGTTAGGACAGCATGAGGGTAAGGCCCCTGGGGCAAAGGAGGGCACTAGTCCTTAGGTAGCTGCAAGTAAGCACCCTGACTCCCCATCTATCAAAAAATGGTATGTTGAACACACTGAATTTTTCTAGTGTTTTTCTACTATACCATTCTCCCATGCCTGTGGTATTGTCTATGCCAGAATCTCATCTAATTTGGAGTCTGCGGCATCACAGGTTGAAGACTCAGCCTTACTTGGGGACCACAGAGATCCCCAGCACACACAGGCATGCGGTCACTGGCAGGGAGGTGCTGCTGCCAACACTGGAACTTTGGGTATGCCAGGGCCTCTAAGTTCTCAGCCTGGAAAACGAGGCAGGTATGCAGGATCTCATCTTGACCCAACACCCTAAGCTCCTATGACTGATCCACAGCAGGAAGGAGTAAATATTGACGAAGAGGAATGGCAGACCTTGGAAGGGAGTCAGGGTGCTTACTTGCAGCTACCTAAGGACTAGTGCCCTCCTTTGCCCCAGGGCCTGAAAGCTCCTAAAAGGGCCCTGCCCCGCTCTGCCACCAAGAAATTACCAGGAGAGGGGGAAGGTGACAGAAACAGAAAGGCACACAGTGGGCAAACAGATGAGAAAGGGAGAGGAAGAGAGAGGCAGAGAAAGCAGAGGAGAAAGATGGGTAGCTGGGCGGGGCAGGAGTGGTGGAAAGACAGAGTGAGAGCTTGCCCTGCAGACTCTACTACTATTTCCTGAGCTCCTGCTCATGTAACCTACCCAAAGTCCTAGCCTGTTCACACACCCTGACCTGTCTTCACTACCACCCCCACACAGCAGGGTTTATTACTTGGAAGAGTGAAAGGACTCATGATGGGTCACCAAAGAATGGAGTCAGAGTCCTAGTGACTTGCCTGTCCCCAAGTCCCTGCCTGTCTGAAGTCCCTTTGCTTTCAACTCCAGAGCACAAGGCAGCTGAATCCATTTCATGAAATGATAAAGCATGTTAGTAGAAAGTATACTCACTCACAGGCAGCCGTGGCCATGGTGCTGGGAGTGGGTGGAGGTAGGGGGGTGAGGTCAGTGGGCCTTTCTCCCATTGCAGTGGTCACGCCCACGCCTGGAGCCTGGCCACCCACCTGGCCTTCAGGACCCACTCAGGGTCCCCCCCCCATGCATCTCTTCTCAAGCCCCCAGGAAGA